TTTTTAATGTAGCCCAAAAGGAATATTTTCATTGCAGTCTTATTTACTAGCATTTGGAGATGCTTGATTAAAACTTAAGAAACTCATCAAAATAGGATTTACTAGGTGAAAGAGAGATCCCTAAATGTGATGTTACATATACATGAAAAATTACAAGACAACCTACTTTGACTAGGAAAGACAATAAATTTTTGAAGAAAGATACATGGGAGTATAACTGTCTTAGTTTGGCCAGCATATAGGTTACAACACTGCAGCTAGTAGCCTTATTAGCTTTCAGGATGTGGTTAAAAACATCATAAAACACCAGTGTTGGCTTTTATCTTATTAAGCCAGGCATAGGCAAACTCGGCCCTCCAGATGTTTTGGGACTACAGTTCCCATCATCCCTAGCTAACAGGACCAGTGGTCAGAGATGATGGGACTTGTAGTCCCAAAACATCTGGAGGGCCAAGTTTGCCTATGCCTGTATTAAGCCAAAATCGGCACTGTAGCTTCAGAACAAATGAACAAGAAACATTATGTTCCACTGTGTAGCACCATGGACAGCACCCAATCACATCAAAATGTATGCTTATATTTCTTTAGTTGTTCCTATTCTTTTCTAAAATAGAATAATTATTAATATGATTTATTTATTAAATTTCTATCCTGCCATTTCTCTCAAAAGAGTCCAGGGTGGCAAATGACAAAACAGCAGAACAAAAAAATAAATTAAACAATATAAAAAGGTTAAAAATATTTAAATAATAATTTAAAATAGGATATTTATTAATAATATCGTTATATTTTCTATTACTCCTATATTAAATTAAAAATCAGAAAACAAATTACTAGAATATGTGGATTGTGTCCAATTCAGGTTTATACAAAGTAGAGCCACTGAAATTAGTGAGCTTCAGTCACATCCATTTAATTAAATGAGTCTATTTTCATGCAGTTCTGTATAACTAAATATATATGACCTTCTTAACGGCTTATTATGTACACACTGGTATGATCCTGCAAAGTATTTCCTGTGTTCTTATTGTGAAGGAAATGCTTGTTCTTTGAAGTAGGCTAGCATTTACCTATTTAGAAAGCCCTTCTTCAGAACTAACAGCAACAATAACCCAAATTGTTGTCCTCCATAGATGGAATTAATGTTTGGTAATATTGTTTCTGGCCTTAGAAAACCTGCCTTATATGGAGTCATACTACTGGTCTACCTAGCTCAGCATTGCCCTACGCTGATTTGCAGTGGCTCCCAAGGCTGCAAATGATAGTACTTCTCTTTTCTACCTGGAGATACTGGGGTTGAACCTAACTTTTGCTATTACATGCACAGAATGTATTTAGCCCTTCCCAAATATGGGAATGTATACCTAAGTACAGTGGTACCTCGGGTTACATATGCTTCAGGATACAGACGCTTCAGGTTACAGACTCCACTAACCTAGAAATAGTACCTCGGGTTAAGAAATTTGCTTCAGGATGAGAACAGAAATTGCGCAGCAGCGGGAGGCCCCATTAGCTAAAGTGGTGCTTCAGGTTAAGAGCAGTTTCAGGTTAAGAATGGACCTCCAGAACAAATTAAGTTCTTAACCCAAGGTACCACTGTACCGCAATAATTAGGTTGAGAAAATAATAATATTGAGTCATTGTGTAGGAGTGGTTAGACTGTCAGAATATAAATGAGGAGTTCAATCTATACTCAGCTGGGTGACTTTGGACCAGTCATTGTCTTTCAGCCTATCATATCACAAAGAATTGTTATGACAAAAGGGTGAGTCATATACACTGCCCTAAGCATGGGGTAAAAATAATAAATAATTGTCAAACAGCAGAATTGAGAAACTTCTGTGAGTAGACATGTTCTCCATCACACATCTTCTATTTCACAGTGGTCTTGCACAAAATCTCCTGGAACACCTCCCAAGAAGTTCGGCTCTTTCTTTGCGTTATGATTGAATCAGTTCTCAGGTCTTTGCCTTGCTATTCTTTGGGTCCCCTGCAAGTGGTTGCTGGCACTCTGTAACTGCACTGAAGGCCTTCTTCTCCATTAACTATGAGGCTGTGGCAGACTTACAACTCTGATGAGGCTAGCTGATTCCCCAAATCACCTCCAAACTTTGCTAATTTCCGCTTCCAAATAAACTTAACAGTTTTGTTGGGTGGAAAGTGGCACAGCTGGTTCAAATAACAGACTCAAATATAAACCTTAATGAATTAAAATTGTAACTATACATTCTGCCACACATCTGCACCTGATGTGCGGTAAACTCAAATCCTCATTTTGACTTGATCAGATGATTCAGATATGCAAGTTACACCAGTTTAGTCATTTGAACAGAAAGAAGACAACAAAGCAGGCTTGCACTAACAAAAATGTTAGCATACTAGCAGTGATCGCTGGAGTAAAATGTCAGCTGGAGACCAGTTCTCTACCGTCAGAAATACTAATAGAGTTGTTGATGGTGACTGATCAACCTGAAAGTGAATTGCAAGGAATATACACCACCATACAGAACCCAAGACTGATTGATTCTGATTGGCTCTTTGGGTGGATTCACATTTACCATATGGTTATTGCTTTAAAATTCTTCCTGTATTCGTTTTAATTACATGCAGAGCTAGTTGTTTATAGAGTCTGGCTGGTGCTGCATCATAATCAAATGGGTCAATAGACATTGATAGCTGACATGCTGTCTTAGGAAAAGCATATTTACTTCACACTGTGTAGCATCAACAAATGTCCAGTGAACGCTATGTGGCCTGTAAAGTATTTTTGGGCCAAAAAGTTATTTTCATTGTGATAACCATAGTTTTTGCTTCTTCTTCTTTTCTTGAACATTTTCTTGATATCCAGGTGCATCCATCTTGGCTGCCAGTCCTGGAAGATCTGCTCCCAGTTATTATATGGCTGCCCTTATGGATCAGGTAAGCAAGGTTTTCCAGAAGGAAAAATAAGAATAGTGGACTGGAAAATTGTGAAAACGTAGTTATAAATTATGGCTTAAAATCATTAAGTAACCCCACATTTTCTGTTTATCCAGCCTTTTTAAATAGGTTTGTCTCCTTGAATTTGATATTGTGTGCTTGCAGTAACAAAGTGCTTGGTCATCTTGGCTCGCTGTGTTACAATGTCCATTCACTATGTCATATATAACCAGCAACCCACCAACTCCCCCAGCACAGTACTTGGCTGCAGATGTCTTCAGACTGCAGTCTCACATTCATTCCTTTGCCAAGCTCTCAATTTTGATCAGGAATTTATAGCTAAGTATGAGATTCTGGTACCCTCAGCTAGGAATCTAACAATAGAAACATAGTGATAGATGGGATTTACCAGTTTTCACTATATAAACCTGTGTCATATTGCTATTTGTATTTTTTCCTTACAGATATCTGAAGGGAACATTTGAAATGTAATTCTTGAGTGAAAACAAACAAACAAACAAACAAAAAATCATTCATTTAGCATCTGGTGGAGCTAAATATTTCATACAAAGAACTGTGTTATTGTGCAGCCTAAATAATAAATGGTTGCTATGTTTGCTTTAATGGCTCACATATTACTCTGGCATAAAATTATCTTTCAAAATGTTGCATATTATGCAGGCGATTTTACTATGTCCATTTTTATGCTATACTCAGTCACCTTAACTGTGTATGAACTGTTTTATTCCCACATTTGCAATGACCACTAATTTTTAGCAAACCAAAATTGATGATTTATCATATTGTTGTTTGCATCCCAATTTCTGAGTGGCAAAAGACTCCAGGGGTTCCAGCATTTACCCAATTTCAGTGGAATGAAGGTCAATGGTGTCTTTAGGATATACAATTTAATTTACAGGTCTATCTATCTCCCCTGAGCAAGGGGAAGGGGGCACAGCATCAACACTCCAACAAACCTTGTCTCCTTATTAGGCTTCTGGAGTGAAAAGCCTGTGTCTTGTCAGCTCCCATTGTCACTCAGTCTCTCACACAAACCAGCTCTCCTATTGTTCTGCTTACAAAATGATGTTGTATCTAGTCAGGTGAAAAAGTGGGGGAAATGCCCACCCCCTGCTGGAGAGCACCAACACTTGGCTGCTGCTATGGCAACATGACCAACCCTTCACTTATGGAGATAGGTTGTTGAACTGGCCATCAGCTTGAGGAAAATGCACTTTGCCCCTTCCATGTCCTCCTGTTCTCTCTCATTCTCTTTGTGTTATTCCTTAGTGAGCCTATCATTTAAAAGTGATTGCCCATGCACATACAGAAAAGCACTATTTCAAGTCTCACCCATGAGGCACACTGAAGCAGGCAGCTGCCTCAGGCAGCAGAACCCCACTGGGGTGGTAACCCCCATGGGCGCCCCACTGGCCACTGGAAAACTGGTGGCAGCGGTGATCTGGTGAGCTCTTGTGAGAACATGCTGCTGCCACTGCCACTTCTCAGTTTTCCGGCAATGGGGTGGGCCGATAAGCATCATCCTCGCTTCTCCTGTGGTTGTGGTGGGCCACCACTGGAACCGGTGTGTGAGAGGGAAGCCATGCAACCCCCGATTTGGGAGGTTCTTTTGTGGAGTGGCAGCAACCAGGTGAGACATCACCTTATTGTTTTGCCCGGCCACCCCTGCACTAGCTGTACTATTTAAAAATGACACCATTAAATAACATTGAGGTCTCTTCTTCTTCATGAAAGGCCACAGTTACGAAAGTAGAGTTACATGACAGAACTGTATGAATGACAAGGCCAGTCAAAGACATTTTAGCGCCTGAGGCAAACCGCAAAATGGTGAGTGAAGATGTACACTAGGAACAAGGAGGGAATAAAGATCTATAGTGGGATCTGCTGCCCCTGTGGATCCTGCTGCCTGAGGTGGTCTCAGCACTTTGCCTTGTAGGTGGGCTGGCCCTGCCTCATGCTGATGGTGCCACACATCAAAAAAATGTACCAGAGAACATCCCGTTCCCATGACAGCAAATGCTCTGCAGTGAAGCGTGACTGGTGTAAATGGCTTTCCTTACCAAATGCCTGGAGGGAGGTCGCAGCAGCTCCCCGTGGTTTTTCTTGCGGGGAGTTTTTTTTCCAGTTGTAAAGGAAACTTTCCCTAGGAAACTGGCAGCATACCTCCCTGAGGTAAAGCACAGATGATGGGAGGGGTTGTTTTGAAGAGGATTTTCCCGTCCTCCGGAGGGCGAGGCGGAGAGGCGGGAGCGGGGGAGACCGGACGGCGAAGGGCTTTCCCGCCGAAATGAGCGCTAGTGGGCGCTGAGCCCTCGAGCGCCGCCGCCGCCCTGTCGGAGGGTCCCCCTTTCATCTCGCCAGTGAAGCGGCTGGGCGTCCTCCGCTGCTCTGCCTGCTCACATTCACAGCAGAAGCAGCGGGCTTGGGCGGCTGCCACCTAGAGACCGGAGGGCGGGAGGAGCGCGGAAGAAGCGGCAGCGGCGGCAAGCAGCGGCAGCAGCAGCAGCCGACGGCTCCAGCGCTGTGCAAGCGAGAGGCAGGCAGCCCTTTCCCTCTTCTGCGCGACCCAGCGAGGAGGCGGCGGCGTGCCGAGCGCCCAGCCAGCCAGGCTTTGTTCCTCCAGCCAGTCTCCTTTCCCCCTTCGTGGCGGCCAAATGATGAACTTTCTGCGGCGCAGGCTTTCGGACAGCAGCTTCATCGCCAACCTGCCCAATGGCTACATGACCGACCTGCAGCGGCCGGAGCCCCAGCAGCCTCCCCCGCCAGCAGCAGCAGCGGCAGCGGCGGCGGCGGCGCCTGCTTCCTCGTCGTCCGGCCTCGGCTTCCCCGGCCTCGGAGCGCAGGCAGCCTCAGTCGGCGGCAGCGCCGCCGCCCCAGCAGCCGCCCCAGCAGCAGCAGCAGCAGCAGTCGGTGGGCAGCAGCTTCTTCAGCTCGCTCTCCAATGCTGTGAAGCAGACGGCAGCCTCGGCGGGCTTGGTGGACGCCGGCTCGTCCTCCTCGGCGGCTGCCAAAAAGTTCAAGCTGCTCCTGGTCATCGATGAGCCTCACACGGACTGGTAAGGTGCTCTTTCCTTCCCTCAGCCACCCCCAGCTGCAAAGTGTCCGGATTGGTGCCTCTCCTCACCCCACCCGGTTCGGAGTGGCAGAAGGCGGGAAAAATGGCAAGCCCTAGTAGGCGCTACAGCCGTGCCTTAGTGCGCTGGAGAAAAGCCCGTAGGCTTCGAAGCAGCGCGGAGAAAATGCTTGTCATGGGCGCCCACTGGGCTGCAGGGAGGACGAGGGGGGGACCCGAATGCCGCTGGATTGAGGCAGCAACAGGGCATAGGAAAGGTGGGCTGTCTGTGTGCTGAAACGGCAGAGAAAGGGTCACCTCCCAGCTTTACTCTGTATGCAAAAGAAACAACCAAAAACAAAACCCAACCTTCAACGTGGGGGGAAAAGCCAACGGACCTGCCTGTAGATTGTCACGTGCCGCTATTATGCATGTGCATATTTGGCTGGGAGTACATGTGCTGGGAGCTTCCAGCTGACTGCAGCTTCCCAGCGCGCAACACACTCGGTGAATTTACACCAGTACCATCACCCATGGCGGCCTTTATGTACAGATTCCCTGCAAGGTTTTCGCAGGGGCTGAGGGAAGTGTTCATTAAACCCTGCAAATGTATCTCTGGCGTTTAGTTACACCAGAGATGGAACCTGTGAGACAAGGCGTGTGAGACAAGGCGTGTGCCAGATACAGTATAAGTTTTAAAACCACTATGTACAATTTGCCTAAATATTGTGAACATGCTCTCTATTTGAACAGAGACAAGCTTTTATCAGATTTGTTCCAAACAGATGAGAGTAACTTCATCAGATCTGGAGTGTTTGGATTTTAGTCCTGTTTAACATAGTTGTTTCCACAAAATATGAATAGCGACTGCTAGATCACTGGCATGTATCCTGTGTGAAAGCAATTTTATTGTACATTGTTTTGATACGATATTAAACCTCAGTTTACAAAAGGGATGTGAAAAGGTAAGGTCTTACAACAGCAAAAAAAAAAAAAAAAAAAAACAAAAAAAAAAAACCAACCTGGATGTAAAGTATCAAGTTATCTGATTTTGGAGCTAGACTGTTTTCCTTGAGGCTCTGGAAAATATTTACATAGTGAACTTGGGGAATGATCTGTGAGTACCTGATGCGGCACTATTACTGAAGCTGACAGGTGTGGATCTGATCAGCTATCTAAATGAAAGATGAATGGGAGCTCTGTGGAATATAAGGATTTGTAATAAGTATTTTTAAAAAGAAAGAATGTTTATACAGTGTTGGCCATGAGGTCAAATATGCTGCAGATTATAACACAAACGATTGCTTTCTACAACACTTTAAATAGCATGCCTTTCCTGTGTACCTGACAGCCATGTTTATGTGTCCACTCTAGTCACAAAAGCATATGTTTCAATAAATGTCTTAGTCTTTACAGTACCATGATAATCCAGTGCTATGCATGTCCACTTGGAAATAATCTCCACTGTGGATGGTGGTCCTTGCTTCCTAGTAAGCGTGAATAGGATTATACACAATTACCTGTAGTAAGGCTGCAAATCTAATCCTACTTACCTGGGAGTATGCTCCATTGAATTCAATAGGACTTACTTCTGAGTAGATTGTTAGGATTATGCCTTTAGTCTCTTTAAACTCAGTGGGGTATACATCAGATTAAACATGCATAGGATCACAGCGCTGTTTTGCTGCAATACACTAACATTCCTGCTACTTTGGATGCTTGTGGTGTGCATGAAAATTAATAGAGGTTTTAAAACAGTGATAAGCACTGAACATACAACTGTCCCCATCTTTCATTATCTATCTACCTGCACCGTAGTATGTTCATTGTGGAAATTAAAGCAAAAGCTGTTAATGGTTTAGTATTTGATTTAGATTATCTTGCCTTGCTTCCCCCCCTATGGTATTATGTGCAAATGATTGTTCTAGGCAATGAACTAATACAGCTCACAGCAAGAAACCTTACTTTTTAACTCAAAATGATAGTGTGAATTTAAAGGAAAATATGCCACCACAAGATGTGGTGATAGCAACTAGCTTATAAGCATGAATAAATTCAAAAACAGGACTATTTATGGCTATTAGCCATTATAGTTAAATGGAGCTTGTATGCCAGTAGGATTTGAAGTACTAAATGTTAGGGACAAATAAAAGGAGATCCTTCATGCCTTGCTTAAGATGTTCCAAAGATGTTTGAATGGCTGCCTGTTGAAAATGAGATGCTAGGCTAGAGGGGCCTTGGTCTGATAGTCTAACTCGTAAACCAAATCCTGGGTGCTTTTGCTTCAGTGACAGCAACTGTCAGACATTTCCCAAGGTGGCATATCCCTTTGGTTTTTGTGCAGCAACACAGCATGTGCATTTCCCCACCAGGCTAGTGATGCTTCTGTACCTTTGAGTATTGCCTCCTGCTATTCATGTTTTCCATTTTCAAAATCTCTTAAAATTCATATCTCTATTACAATAGATTCCAAGGTACACTGGATTTTATTTTTATGGCAATCATAGTATAATTCACCAACATTTGGTTAAAGGAACACTCTGTTCCGGATCTAGATAATAAACCGTGGTTTAGGAAATGTCAGCTGTGGTGTCCCTCTGTTAAATATGTCTGTTTTCTGTACCTGAGTAATTCTATTTAAGCTCTATATTTGGAAGGCTTTTTTAAAGGCAGAGGTTCTGTTTGCAGAAAAACTTATGAAGATTTGCTAGATTTGTAATGGAGAAATGAAATTGCATATTACATAGAATGCAATTGTCTCATTAGGAAATATATTTTCATAGTAATCATAAATGAGTATCAGTTTGTTTGACCATATGAATCAAATTAGAAGAAACTATATTTTAATTTACTACAATCTTTTCTCTTTGGGTTAGAATAAGACAGCAGCTACAAATGGTTTGTTTAACTACCGGTACATTAGCCCCTGGTGAAGCCTCTTTCTGTGCATATCTAGATAACGCATTAGGAACATTTATGTTACAAGGTCAGAACTATTTTATCTTGCATTCAAAATTAATTCCTTAGACTTGTGCACCTTGGTCTGTGAATCTACTGTTCTTATCCCATCAATGTGATAAGAGGTCTGCTAATTCTAAAGCAGCTACGGTACATCTAGGTTTGCCAGTTAAAAACCCTTAGACGATTTCTGTCCTCCTAAGTGTTGCATAAAAGAGAGAATCCCCACCAGGTATGGTTATCTGCCAGTATAAGTAGAGTGGGGTACATCTACAGGAGTGGTATCACTCAAGTACTGGGTTTGACTACTTGCTCAGCAGCAAGTCTGTCAGCATAATATTCCATAGGTAAAGAGGCAGATGTGTGTGTGGGTATCTGGAGCTTTTCTACTCCAGCTGAGGCTGATTCCCTTCAGAGAATACCTCTACCCTTAGATCTGCTGTCCCTGAGAACTACAGAGGATAACTACACAAGAAGATTCACTGTTCATTCGCTTTGAGAGTATTTGTGGTATCAGCAGTCCATATCCCAATTCTACCTCAGCTTAATACATAATTATAGTCAATGTGCCACAATTGACAGAGGTTTGTGCTTCTTCACACCTTGTGTTTCTGCTTCCTCCCATGAAGAGTCTGGAAAGAACAGTTTGGTAATGCAGTTTGGTTTTTCTCCATTTCCATCCTACTTTAGTCAGTATTTTGGAACAAGTTTCCTTTCCCTTTTTTAAATAAGTGCCTAACTATACACATAGTTTATGTTGACAAATAGCTGGGAGTACTTGCTATGTTATAAAAGTAAGAATTTTGCTGCTCATACTTTATCAATTTGAGTATAGGTGCATGAAGAAACAGGATAATTATGATATGTGGCCACCAGAATTATTTAAACTGTGAAAACAAAAATTTGCTTCATTCTTGCTACCATGTGAAAATTGGTTGTGGTGTTCTAAAGTACAGTCATACCTCGGGTTACAGACGGTTCAGGTTGCATTTTTTTTGGGTTACAGACCGCCGAAACCCGGAAGTACTGGAATGGGTTACTTCTGGGTTTCTGCGGTTGCACATGTGCAGAAGCACCGAATCGCAGACGCGGATTGCAAATGCTGCAGGTTGCGAACATGCATCCCACATGGATCACGTTTGCAACACGAGCATCCACTGTAATGCTGTCAATGGTCGCCAAAAGGATGCAGTAATGGGATGAGAGCTTAAGGAAATAAAAATTGGACTGTTTTTATCTTGACTGGTCACTGTTGGATATAAACATGTGTTTCTTTCTTCAGTAATAAACTAATTTAGAATAGATTTCAGCATGCTGGCATGGCACTATGATCATTATTATTCAAAGTTGTCTTTCCAATCAATACATCATGCCCATATTGATATTTCTACAAACATTAATGTCTTGCTTATTTATATATACACACAATCATAACTGTAGAGTTGGAAGGTACTACGAGGGTCATCTGGTCCAACCCCCTGCATTGCAGGAATCTTTTGCCCAGTGTAGGGCTCAGGCCCACAATCCTGAGATTAAGAGTCTCATGCTCTGAGTTATAGCTAAGGTACTAGATGGATTGTACATTGCACCTGCTTTCTTTGGATTACAGTAGTTACTTAGGCTCAGCAAATACAATTTTTGAATATCGCAATGCTGAAAACCATTGATTTTGTCCCCTGCCTATTCTATTGTGCAAAATGAGTTCACGCCAGTTCATATAGTATAGGAGAAATCATAGTAATTCAAAAGCTTATTATTACCACGATTGTCAAGCAGTTTGTTCTATAGCTCTCAAAATGAGTTTGCCATGAAACTTCCAAGATCACAACTCTATATTTAAGAGAGCAGATAATTGATGAAAAAGGGAGAAGTTCTATATCTAAAACTCAGAAACAAAACATAGGATTTTGCATATCAATGAGAAGTTAGATGGGGAGAGTATTCAACCGCACAGCTGTCTTTTTAAGATTCACATTCAGAAGCGAAAGCAAAGGGAAAAAAAAGAAGAAAATGTTTAGCATCAACTTTGGAATTGGGGGCAACTCA